TGAAGGATTGTGAAATTTCACAGTAAAAGAACAGAGAAGGAAGTGTAAATTAGAGTGGGGAATTCAAAGTCAGACAGAGAAATGAAGTGAAGAAAAGTGCAATCGGATAAAGAGAGAACTGAAAAAAGAGCAACTTTTAAAAGTATTCATTTTTTAAGAAAATTTCTAGCAACGATTAAAAGTTGAGAAAATGAGACTCCACGCTTGTAATAATCAAGTGTTGTTCCTACAAAGTTGTTTGACAGTAATTATCACTTACCATAAGATTAAAAGGGTGCTGGATTTCAAATGAACAAGCCTTAACTTGCTGCAATGAGTTTAGTTCACATCTACCACACACATACAACTGTCCTTTTGAGTGAAGAAGCAGATAGCAAAATGTTCTTTTCGCACTGCAAATAGTGGAACAGCACAACTCGGAAGCAATGCTTGTATTTCTGTGATAAATGAGCATTCATCGTCCTGAGGTTCCCATAACTTCTGTGCATCGATAATGCTGAATACCATTAGACACCCCATTATTTCAACAGAAAATTCTGACCCCATTATCTGCAGTGTGCTTTAACAGCACCTAAAGGTGGATGCAATTCTCAGAAGGTAGAATACTGCAGTGTTTCTCCGATTCAGCCACCACGCCAACCGACTGATGTTTGACTATATCACTGTGAGTACAATATAGCATGTTTTATATTGGAGTGAACACCTATGATATCAGTAGTTGTGTAGTTCTAGTGGGAGGTGTAAAGAAGTTGTACCACCACAATGACTGGCCAAAGGAAAGATATTTCCTATCAGAATGAAGATGCAATGTTATGTCTAACAACCACATTAAGCTATTTGAATTCTAGTTAATTGAGTTTGCAGTAATATTATTATATTGGCTAATTTCACTCCAATTAATCCTATACAGTCACGTTGTGTTTATATGAAAAAATGTAAATTCTGCAAGATCTCAATTAAGTAAATATAACCTCGCATCTCCATTTTGATAGAAGTTGACCTATCTTTTCCCGTTCTCAGGATTCTTGTGGCGTCTCGGTAGAAAGTAACACATTTATCCATTGTGATAAACGATAGGTAATAAATCACCAGTTCTGACTCTTCTGGTATTTGGTAGTCAAGAGCCAGAAACTTAAACATCCCCAGTTGTTCAAGAAATGTAATTGTAACAGGAAGCCTGAGTCTGAATAATACATATGATATTACATCAAGTTGCCAAGGCATGACTAAATCATTATTAGTGGTTCCAAGTGTATTTATCATTCGGTCTCATAGGAGCTCAGAATTTGATTCTAAAGGATACACCATAATTAACCACTGAAAGAAGATCCGTCATGTATTCAAAGTTTTATTAGGGATGGTAGCTATCAATCAAGAAGTGCCTCTTGCTCCTAGCCCCGTTTGAAAACTGTAATTTGCTTTTTTGTGGATTTGTAATTTGGAACACCAGGAAGATTAGGCTGTTGAGTCCACAAGTCTGTCCATGATTCAATCAAATCGTGAGTGATCTGTGACTTAACTGCGTTCATCCACCTTTACCTTGTAACCTTCAATACCTTCAGGTAAAGGAACACCAGTAATCTCATTTCAAATTAACAATTGATCAAGCATTAATTGCCATTTACAGAACAGTTCCAAACAATTACCATCTTTCATATGTACAACAGTTTCTATTTTTCACTCCTGAAAGATCTGCTCCAACGTTTAGATTATACAGACATCTACATTACATTAGGAGTGGAAGTAGGCCATTCACCGTTCAACGAAATCATGGCTGGTGTGATTGTGACCTAAGGTCCATATTCCCACCTACCCAGTAACTATTCACTCCCTTGTTAGCTAATCTAGTTTATCTATCTTTGCCTTAAAAATATTCAATGACTGTGCCTCCACAGCTGAATGGAGAAGAGAGCTCCAAAGACACTCAAACCTCCAATAGAAAAAGTTCCTCCTCATTTCTGACTTAACTGGCAGTTCCTTTGTTTTTAAACTCTGTCCCCTTGTTGTCTCTCCAAAAAGGGGATGCAGCTTTTTAGCACCCATGCCCTAGACTGCATAACCAGTGGAAGTAGGGTGGGTAGGTAAAATTTATCTATTTCATTTACTACTTCAAATTTTGATCAAATTACGATTTAACCTTCCAAGTTACAGGGAATAAACCGTGGTTTGAGCATATCTCTCTTCTTAGTTTAACTCCATGGAGTCTAGCTGTTATTCTGTAAATTGGTGCTACATTCCCACCAAACTTTAAATCCTTTCTAAGGTATGGTCCTCGGGATCTTTCATAACGGTATCTAATCTAGTCCTCTCAGTACAAAGCAACCTTCTATTAACCATTTTATTTATTTTCAGCAGCAATTCATGCCATTTTAATGCTCTGATTAACTGTAGCCCTAAATTTCTTGGAACCTTTTCACTGTGTCTAGTTTCTCAGCCTATACAAATTGGCTTTTTCTATTCTGTTTCATTTCAAAATAAATGCCAGTCTATTTCCTACATTAAAGTTAATTTGCCCTGTGAACATTTCATATAATAATATTATGCTCCCCTTTATACTACTGTGTCAACAGCAGGTTTGAATGTGACTTTCTATTCCATCATTGAAGCTATTAATAAAGATACTGCATAATCAAGGCCTGAACTCCGATCAATGCCAGATACCACCAGTCACATCCTGCCAAATAAGAGTACCTACCCATTATCACTATTCTTTGTCTCCTCCTGTTCAGTCAATTTCTTAACCAGAACAGTAATTTGTTTTCAGTTCTGTCAGCTTACACTTTAAAGTCTCTTTTATAAGATACTTTATTAAATGCCTAATGGAAGTCTATGTAAGTAACATCCACAGACATTTCCCTCACCACTTCAGTCCAATTTTTCCAATCTAAAAGAACAGATGCTGAATCGTGAGAATTGTGCAAGATTATAGTTATGGCATCTGTAGTGTTCTTACCTTTGAAATACTGGAATGGAAACTGTGTGGACCTGGTGAGCATAAATGAGCAAACTGAATATCCGGAACCCGGTAGAAAAACAAAAATTGCTGGAGAAACTAGTCAGGTCTGGCAGCATCTGTGGAGAGAAAGCAGAGTTAGTGTTTTGGGTCCAGAGACCCAGTACTGAAGAGGTATCACTGGACCCAGATGCTGCCAGACCTGCTGTGTTTCTCCAGCAATTTCTGTTTCTGTGTCAGATTTCCAGCATCTGCAGTTCTTTTTGTTTTATCCATAAACTGGTTGTTGCGATTTAAGAGCTGCTTAATAGTATTGTTGGCAACACTTTGCTGACAGATGAGGCTGATGGGTTGGAAATTGGACAAATTGAATTTTCTTGCTTTATCTGAATAGGCCGTACCTGGGTAGTTTTCCACATCAGGTAGGTGCCAATGTTGTGTTTATTTCGTGTTGTTGATTCTTACACACTGTTGCAGAAAAGAACCCTGGACACAAGCTGGAAATTTCATTGCCATTTTGATATGCTGGTTTGCTTATCCCAGTCTAGATGAGACATAAAACCCCCTACATGCTTGCTTAATCTCTGCATCACCCAATTCAAAGCTGCTACCAGGCAGACTACAAATGATTCCCACAATAGTTGTAAATTCTTTTTTTTCATTTGCATTTTACCAACAAAGCCTCCACTGCCTTATATCTTATTATAACTTCTATTATCATTACAAAAAACATCATTCTTAGTTATTCCTTGCACTCCACAATTTTCTCTATCATTCCTGTAGACCTGTAACCCGATATGTTTAGTTCTCTGCTCTGACCATTTGTAGCTATGTCTCCGTAGTGATTATTTTATCATGTCCACCCAGTTGAATTTACACCTACACTTTGCACAATGATTTCATTAAACTCTCTTTGGGTCACACCAGCTCTAATGATTTATTCACATGGATCTTCTTTCTCTCAGTTTAATTTTCATGTATCATGTAACTTTCCCTTTATCTGTTCAGCCTTAGACAGAATTTCAGGTTGTTGCTGTACTTTATCTCCTTTTATATGTTTTTAACCAATACTTATGCTATCTTTCCACCTGTGCCTTTTCCCCATTTACTCTGTGACTTCTCCATTCATCCATTGCACTAGGAGCCTCGTCAAAGCCCAGTTCAGGCAGACCCTGTTTCAACAGAGCAGTTCCTTTCCTGGTCGGGTATCCCATGAAGTGAAACCACTCCTACCCACATCCCTTCACCCAGGTGCCCAGTTCTCTGATCTAGTTATTCTATCTGGGACTTGGAGAAGGTGACCCTCCGTTAATCAGTATCCTAAGATCATACAGGTTAATGATCTAGAGGTCCAGCTCTGTATTTGCATTTCTTAGACCTTTGAGGAGCATAGCAAGAAGGATTGCAGCTGTAATATTGTTACTATTTCTGCTGGTTTTAGTTCTTGTCTTGGAAGTATGTGATCACAGTTACTTTCTAGCAAGTGCATAACATTCTTGTGGGAATTCTAGATGAATTTTGAAGTAGACAATTTAAAGCATGTTGTTATAAGCACAGTGCATAGCCTGTGTTTTGTTAAAAAGAAAATCATTTGAAGTCATTTCAGAAAACCAAACATTAAATAATCTCTTTTTAATATTCATTTTTCACAAGTGCAAGAAATACAGGAAAGTAAATGCTGAAGCCTGAGATCTAGATGAATGTTTGTCTTTTTTCCCACCAAAATGCATAACTTATTGGTTTACTTGCAATTTCATTACAAAGATTCAAAATCAGGCTGTAAAAATACCAGCAGTTGTAGTATTGTGGTTACGTTATTGAATTAGTAAGAGATTAAATCTGGAACTTAAAAGTTACTGTCAGTCATGATGTTTTTTAGGGAAGGAAATCGGTCATTTTTACATGGTCTGTCCTGTGTGTGACCAGACCACAGCAATGTGGTCGACTCTTAAATAGCCTTACAAGTCACTAGTTACACCATTGAATGATGGGCAGTAAATGCCAGCTATGACTGCATCCCATGAATAATACTGATTTCCCACAACAGCTGGAAGGTAGGGCTTGCAAAATGACATCCGAGAAAACTCCTGGTGATATGAAGACTGCTTTGAAATGGGAGAGAGAAGAACATCAGCAACTCCTCGCAGAGTCGTACAGTGCAGTTATGGATCTAACACAGCAACTTCAAATCAGTGAAAAGAACTGGAGTCAAGAGAAATTAGAGTTACTGGACAGATTTAACAATGAGCGGAGCCACAGCGAACAGCGTCTGAAGGAAATGCAGCAGAAGATCAATCAGGTACATGCTAAACAACCGCTTTAATGTGTATTAAATAATTTTAAACCTGTAGTCCTACAGTCACAAATGTTACAGTGTCGTCTTAAAAATACAAAGAAGTTCTTTGCGCAAGGCTTTCTTCTAACAAGCGTGCTGAGAAAGAGCATCTGCCTTCTCTTCAAAAGGTAACTATTTGTGTGAGGGAAGTTTAACAATGGACTAGAAAGTCCTACATCACAAATGCCCATTTTCCAGAGAGAGTCCATCCCCAGTGTAATGCTGATGTCCAAGATGTTGTTTGAGATAGATAAACCCATTCTGACAGCAGGGATGGGACCTTTAAGCTAGAAAAATAACCTCGCTCTTCAAAGCAGGGGAATTTTGATAAAAGAGAAACAAAATATTTACTCCTCTTTACATATGAGACTATGGACGAGTTGGTTACAGTCTATAAGATAACAACCTGTCCTCACTGAATCTCAGGCTGTACGGAGCATATGGGTGACAGTGGCATTCCCTCCTTTGTACCTTTTTATGTCCTTTTGATGATCTCTAAACCTCCAGTGGGATCTTGCTGCTGGGAGTTTTGCAGTTACCAATCAGAAAGTTATGGCATTTGTCCAAGTAATACTGTGTGGAGGTAAATGAGCAAAGCGATAATATCAGATACTCAACGATTTTTATTGTCACTTTGTAAATAAGTCACTTTATGTTTAATGGTGTTAGAGGGAATGCTGCATTTGTTCCCAATATTTATGTCTCACTAATGTCCAAAAAATAGAGGGTTTTATTTTGATTGCTTGATTGGATTGACAGATGATGATTTTCTGCTTCTGTCAATGCAAGTCATGAGATGATGAGGGGAGAAGAAAAAAAGATTTTTTTCAAAAACATCGTTAAAACCCAAGTTTCACCTTTTGTGGGACCTAGAATTATCCTTGCTGCTAGCTGCTGTGGAAGCAAACCTGTGTCCCAGAATATCATGCCATAGTTTGAGAGACCGTCGTCATAATCCAACACCAGTTACCTATGAGAGTCAATCTTCCCCATAGCATCAATTAAGTTTTTTAGCTGAAAGTTCAATCTTCCTCTTTTGTTGGGAGTAATGCCTCTTGTGTTGAACTGCTCCAGGTGCAGTTTTTCCATGTATAAACATAACGAATAATGGCTGCCCTACATTTTATTATTGTGCCACAAGTGGACTATATTCAAAATTATCCACATTTCTCAGAGAAAACAATAAAAATGGCCCAGGCTCGTTTCTTCTTTCACCATATACGGTGTTTCACGGAGCTGTCCCTACTTGCTTTCTTTCCTGTGAGGGATAGAACTTTCAAGAAAGTGAAGCATTGAGAATTGGCCCTTGATGTAAATTCAGTGTAAGATTCATGTGATGTTATCATGCTGGCTATTCAACAGTGGCCAGTTGCGTTCACAGGATTAATTTCCATTGTGTTCCGTGTACCATTTTGATCTACAATGCATGTGTTTGTGCTAATGATCTTATCTCCATTTCATGCAGAAAATTATTAATTTAACTTTTATGACATTGGTGTGATGGACCAATAACCACAACGTAGTTTTGGAATCTGGAAATTTTTTTGATTCAGTTGCTGTTTTTTTTTCTTTTTTAAAAAAAAGTTTAGTAAGTCAATTTCTAATTTACTGTACCAGCTTTTATTGTAGTAGACAATAGTTTATAAATGGGCGCTCCCTTCGTGAAGCGTCATGGAAAAGACGCATGTATGAGGAATCACCGGGAATATCAATGTGGGATGAGCTAATGAATAGAAGGTCATGTGGAAAGTACTTGCTTCAAAACATCACCAGCATTGTCTGCTTGAAGAACACTTAGTTTATAAATTATATACCGATGAATGTTTTCTTCATTCTGCTCACTTTCTTAGAATAATTAAATGCTATCTCAATTCTCAATACTTATTTTTATGTGCAAAAAATGAGAGTTTGGGTTGGATGTGGATGTTATTTTGAGTGGCACTGCATTAGGTAGAGTTTTAATTGGTAATAATCCTAATATTTAACAGCAATGCAAAGGTGCATAAGTAGCTGAAATAGCACTGAAGTTCTGAGCAAGGGTCACCGGACCCTGAAACGTTAACTCTGAATTTTTCCTCACAGATGCTGCCAGATCTGCTGAGCTTCCAGCAACTTATGTTCTTGTTAGCACTGTGAAGGTTTGGCCAAATGCTAATTGAAAAGAATTTGATGGAACTTGGGTTGTTCGGGCTTACTGTGAGGAACTGCAAAGTCTCTGGTTGCAGAAGTGACACACTTGCATTCATCTGAACATCCAAAGGATTAGGTCATACAGCCCTCAAGCCTGCTTCACCATTTAATACAGTTACGGCTAATTTGATATAACCTCAAATCCACGTTCCTGCCTACCCTGATAACTTTCCAACCCTCTGCTTGACAAGAATCTATCTACCTCTGCCTCAAAAATATTCTCAGACTCTGTGCCCCACCATCTTTTCAGAAAGAGTTCTAAAGATTTGTGACCCTCTGAGAGAAAAAGAATGACCTAATCTCTGATTATAAATGGTGATTCCTATTACTAGATTTTCCCATGACAGTGTAGATTCCCTCCACATCTCCCCGGTCAAAATCTTTCAGGATTTTATGTTCCATTCAAGTCGCCTTTTACTCATCTAAGCTATGAGAGCACTGTAACTGATTGATTGAGGTATATCTGCTGCTGTGGTGGCCAACTGAGTCTTTCCTTGTGTTCTCACCTCCTCCCATACCTCCTGTATCAGACACTTCCAGGGATGTGACAGCCAGTCAGTCACATTCTTCCATAACTAAGCTGAACCAGCGATGCTTCAGTTACATAGAATCAGATCTAGAGTACAATGATTGGTTTTGGTCACCTTAATCAAGGAAAGATATGAATATGTTGGAGGCAGTTAAGAGAAGGTTTGCCATACTAATAGCTGGAAGGGGGATACAAGCCCAACCTTTCCTTATTAGACAACCAGCCATTCTAGATATTATTTGGAGGAGGAGGAATACAATGAAAGACCAGTCAGCTGCCACAGTAACAGATGTCTCAAATCAGTTACAGCCCTTTGACAGTATATACTTTGAAGGTATCCAAGACAGTCAAAACCCCAGGAGTGTTGTGGAATACAAAGATTGGTGGAGTTGCGAATAGTGAGGTTGATTGTCAGAGGATACAGCAGGATATAGATCAGTTGGAGGCATGGGCAGAAAAATGGCAGATGGAATTTAATCTGGACAAATGTGAGGTGATGCATTTTGGAAGGTCGAGTACGAGTGGAAATTATACAGTGGATGGCAGAATATTTAGGAGTATTGATTTGCAGAGAGATCTGGGTGTGCGGGTCTACAGATCACTGAAGGCAGCAGCGCAGGTAGATAAGTTAGTAAAAAAGGCTTATGGCATGCTTGCTTTCATTGGAAGGGGCATTAAGTACAAGGATAGGCAAGTCATACCGCAGCTTTATAGAACTTTAGTTAGGCCACACTTGGAATATTGCATACCGTTCTGGTCACCACACTACCAGAAGGATGTGGATGCTTTGGAGAGGGTACCAGGATGTTGCCTGGTATGGGGCATTTTAGCTATGAAGAAAGGTTGGATAGACTAGGTTTGTTTTCACTAGAATGCAGAAGGTTGAAGGGTGACCTAATAAAAGTTTATAAGTTTGTGAATGGCATGGATAGATGGAAAGTATGAGGCTTTTTCCCAGGGTGAACGGGTCAATTACTGTAGGACACAGGTTCAAGGTGCCAGGGGGAAGTTTAAAAGAGATGAGCGAGGCAAGTTTTTCACACAAAGGGTGGTGAAGTGCCTGGAAAGTGCTGCCAGAGGGTGTGGTAGAAGCAGACACAATAGCAGCATTCAAGAAGCACATGGACGAATACATGTATAGGAAGGGAATAGAGGGATACAGATCCTATAATTGAAGACAGTTTTAGTATGGAAGGGCAAAATGTGTCAACACAGGCTTGGAGGGCCGAAGGGCCTGTTCCTGTGCTGTATTGTTCCTTGTTCTCAGCGAGCTCCTGCAATCAGGTGACACACACAGCCTTCCACAAGGACTCGGTTGTAAAGAATAGGAGAGATTTCACATGTCTGAAACACATCATAAACATGGAGTTATGTGAAACTGACAGCATTCGCACACCACATTATGGTAAAATAATCGCATAGAACTTAAACTTTACATATCAAACTTAGTTGGTATCACTTTGATAACTTTTGTGGCCTTTGAGTGTTGTCTGGAGATCTTTCTGAAAGGATGACATAGATGCCATCAGCTCCCTGCTAATCATCAACCTCCTCCTCTTGGGCATTGTAATCATTTTTTCTAGCTACAGGTAAAAGGTAGACGTTAAAAGGTCCTGATCCCTCCCAGATTGCAATGAAAACAGGATTAGAAGCACTTAACAGTCGAACGATGAGAGCCTTTGATGTACTTTAATGCCTCATTTCCTCTGGGATCTTTTCCTTGTTGCTTGCAGCAGCCAGATGGCTGTCTGAGGTAATCAGTCCCTCCTACCTTGTATCCATGATCATGCAGAGCCTGTGCCTACTTTGTACACAATTACTGCCTTGCTGTGTTTCTGTGAATGCAAAAGGAATTCCAGTTCCATGTATTGGGAGCAGAGACCTTACGTAATTTTTTTTTTGGCTTCCCTGTAGCTGGGAATGGAACAAGAAGGCACTCTTCTCATTCTGCAGGATATAGATAAATTCTGTGAAAATTGAGTAAAATAGTGATTTTGCCTTACTTGAATGCAATTTCTTAATTTAATGTTGACTTTTGCAGTAAAGAACATCACTATTAGGTTTCTGCAAGATATGAATTCTCGAAAAAAAAATTGTCCTTGTAGTTTAAAAACAATTTCTCTGTATCTAAGAACTGATTTTGAATTTTGAAATTACTGAATGCAGTTTTGTATGTAACTCAAGTTATAGTCAACAAAAGACATCCTCTCTCCTAAGGGGAGGCGGCGGCCTAGTGGTATTATTGCTGGACTGTTAATCCAAAAGACCCAGGTAATATCTGGGTCCCTGGGTACGAATCTCACCATGGCAGCTGAACTGAAATCAATAAAAGCCTAGTTTCATCATGAGCACAAATCATTTGTCGATTGTCAGGAAAAACCTATCTGGTTCACTAAGGTCCTTTTAGGGAAGGAATCTGCTATCCTTGCCTGGTTTGGCTTACATGACTCTCAGACCCACAGCAATGTGTTTGACTCTCAACTCCAATTAGGGATGAGCAATAAATGCTGGCCTAATCAGTGACGCCTTCATCCTGTGAATGATCATAAAAATCATTAAAACCGGAACTGTGCCCTCTACCTCCAACAACATGTCTACTTCACCCATTGTCAAAATGTTCGGGAGTTGAGCAATGTTAGCAGATCACAAAAACTTAGCTAGTTTTTGGTTCATAACATGACATCACCATTGCATTGAAGGATGTAACAATATAAGCAACAATGGAAAATTCTCCCCATACACTATGTGAATGGCTTACTGTTTGCTTATAATAGAATTCCACACCCACGCACTACTCCTTACCTATGCTACATCTAATTGTTGCATCTGTATCAAATAGAAGATCAAAGACCTGCTGAATCTTTGTTGGTACAAAGGCAGCTGCTATTGTCAAACTAGCCCAGGGAGGAGGTGGATTTCTCAGGTGTTAACAATGTGACTTCTTGTGACAGTCAGTATAATTATAAGGAAATTAAAACCGATTCACTAAACCCTGCAAATTCCCAGTTGACTTATTTACAAACTACATTCTTTATATGTTTCAGATGCTACAGCACAGAAACAATGAAAAGGAAACTTCAGATGAATTAGAGGCTAAAGGAACTAATTTGCAAAGGTAAAATTTGGCTTATCTATACTTAGATGAAATATTATAGCCAAGCAAAAAACTAAATTGGTAATTGAAGTAAAGTCTAGCATTAAATAGGCACAGGTTTACAATCTTTCTCATTTGTTCTTTAAGTTATGATGTTTAGTCAAAGTATAGGTTAAATATTAATCTGTTGAGTAGTTTCTTAGACAGAAATTCACAATAAGAGGAGTAGGCCATTCAGACCCTCAGTCATGGATGATCTGCACCTCAACTCTATTTTATCCATCTTTACTAAATATTCATTGATACCCTCACGTAACTAAAATCTTTTATTACATTAAACTTTCAACTGACAAAGCATCTAATGCCTACTGGGGGGCAAGGGTGAGAGATTTCTCCGTCTCTGTGAAAACATGTTTGTTTTGTCATGGTTCTAATTTTAAAATTTATACCCCTATAACATTTTGGGTTTCACTTTAACTTTTAATTATATGTAGTCATTTGGCCGTAAATTCTCCAAAGCAATGTCTGTACCAATCGGAGTCCGTTTGCCAACAATCTGCTCTTATACAGCAGAAGTCTTTTTTCCCCCTCTTAGTTTGATATTTCTTGTGAATTGGCCTGATAAATGTAAAATGAGAAAATGTTGACAAAATGTGTCCTTCTTTTCAACAACACTCAACTTTAATTGTAAGACATCAATCAATTACAATTATAGATTGATTTGAGAGAGCAGGTTTAAAGTTTGTAATTCTTGATTAGCTACAAGACCCATTACAGGTACCAATATGTTTTCATAAGTTTCACAGAATATATTAACTTTATCAAAGCAAGTACAAAAGAAATTATGTTTAATAAAAGTACTAGTTTTCAATCCATTCAATTCAGAATACCAGATTGTGAAACTGATTGGCTGGATGCAAGTCTCTTGTTCCCTTCTGTTAACTAAAGTTCTCCTTCAGTTTTCTCTTGTGCATCAAACCACTGAGAATTACCACTTCTTAACCGTTGCTAGCCACTACCCTGTGCCATGATCAGAAATGTTCTAAACTTTAATTGGCTTATTGTGCATTAGCAGTGCATCAACAGTTCATGGTCAGTCTTGGTTCATTTAGGTCACGTCTGCCAAATGTTGAATTCATTTTAAAAGTCGTGATCATCTGTGATACTACTTCCTATGTCTACTTCCTGATTGATTATTTGACATGTCAGTCAATTTTTAAGATCACCATTTTGTAACAGCTCATCTTCCTTAACTTATTAACTCCATAGATCATTACCAAGATAATGTGACACCAATTGAGAATGTGTAATGCCACCTTCTAGTGATGTACTATAATTCAAATGATACATCTAAGTATTCTTCAAAACCTATCAATATCACTTCTTTAGAAGAGCCATGCATGACTCCACGATAAGTGTTGATGCTAAAGCAAATTGAAGTTCAACCTATCCATACAAACTCATATACACAACCCTATTACGTATTTTATGTTACAAAACAAACCATTTAAAAATGTACAGAACTGTGTCCTGGGTAAAAGCTATATCCACTTCAGTAGCATCTCCTCTTTTTTTACAGCCTGAGTTTATTTTAACTTGATCCATAAAAACAACAATAACATCATAAACCATACTTCTGACCTGTGCCATATTGTTTCTTCCTCAAATTATTTTACAGCTAATCATAATTAAATAAAATATAATTTGATTCTTCAGTTAATCAAACTGAAATGATTAACTGTTGAAAAATAACTCAGTCCTACAATCTGCTCTGCAATCCTCTATCAAATAGATTTGTTTTTTGGTATGTAGCCACTATTTTATCATTTTTTAAAACCCTTAATTAACAAACCCCTCAACCTACTGCAGGAGTAATATTGCTTCCCACCCCCATGCACACACTTTTTGTGTAGAATGAAGGCAGTGAGGTATTAACTGCCCTGGACTGAAGAGCGAAGCTAAGCAACCTTTGAACATTGACCCAAGAACATCCCTGCAGCTATTCCCTCCTATATCATCAACACCACACAGATAAATGTAAATTACATCTGTGTCTCCCTGAACTTCTCCACATGCATATGGCATCCTTCTTAATAAGAACAGAATAATTTCTGGTCTGTAATTAGCAATTGAACAAGACATCACTTGATCTTCTGCCAGTGAATTTGTATTTTTCCAAAACTAATTTTCTGAACTCTTTTGGTATATTAACAGTATTAGTGAAAGCTTTACCATTCCAACTAGAAAATTAATAGTTGATACTGTTGTTTGTTCCTGTGGATAATGATGTCCTTGTCCTTTTTCATTTTTACAAAGAGAAAATAACTCATTTTTAAATGGATCATTTTTAGGGCCAAATCAGTTTCTTCCATGTCTGAGTTTGAGAGCTTGTTGGACACATCTCCGTATTTACCTCCACCCTGTACACCCCTGCCAAAGGGTTTAAACAATCTTGAGGAGCTGAACAAGAAAAATTGGAAACACAAGAATGCTAATGGTGAATTATTACATGAAAAATCAGAAAGTGCACTAATCAACCAGTCAGATGTGGAGATGCCTGCAATTTCATCTTGGGATTTCACTATGACAGGAAATCTAGTTAACCCACATCTCAACACAAAACAAATACAAAGGAGTTACACAGCACCAGATAGAACTGGCATTCGCATTTATTACAGTCCACCAGTAGTGCGCAGGATGGATGGCTCTTTGGTTCAGAACAATGAGGGAAAAATTATGATTGAACCAGGTTTTCTGTTTACCATGGCAAAACCCAAACAAACTGGAGGCATGGAGCTCCATCCAGAGAAGGTGCGCAATAAGTGGTTTAATAACTTTTCCAAGCATCGGGATCTGTTGGAAAGTGGCACTGGAGAACATCCTGTTTCTGCTACTGCTGCTGCTACTGGGTTTCCATCTGCGCTGCATGATCTGCAGATATCGGGTAATATGAGCGATGACATGAAGGAGGCAGCCAACTGTGCCAGAAATGTTATTTGTACAAGCTCAATGGAAAGGAAGGTTAATGCAGCGAGCCAGACTGTTGGAGTTATCAGCGTGGGCACTCAGACCACCCGAAGTATTAGTGTTGGGCTGCAGACTGAGAGTCCAAGATCAATCTCTAGTAGCCTACACCGGTCGTGGGCATCCAGAGGCTCCTTACTGATGCCAACCCAGAGTTCCCGGAGCAAACAACTCTCTTCATCATTGGAAAAGGTGCCGTCTAAGTTTGAACGACCTTGTTGTTCACCCAAGTATGGCTCACCAAAGTTGCAGAGAAGAAGCTCATCAAAAATAGATCACACAAGAGAACGAAGTCCATGGGCTATGTCTCATAGAGGACAAAATGAGTCAGCCTGGGCTAGGTCAACTACTACGAGGGATAGCCCAGTGCTCAGCTCAATCAATGATGGACTGTCCAGTTTGTTCAATGTTGTTGAGCACACATCTGGAAGTGTTGACTCCATCTGGAAATCAAGCCAACATGAGACGAAAACAAAAGGTGATACATCAAGATATGGGATTGTTCAGGAGTTTTTCAGAAATGTGTGTGGCAGATACCAGAGTCCAACAAACGGAGCTGACAAGCCACTAAAAGATCCAGTCACTGAAGAAAGTGTCCGAAAAATGGATGCGACTGCTCCTCCGGGCCATTCGCAGGTAGACGGTGTTTCCCGAATTGTAAATAAAAGACTTCCCAAGCAACCAAACAAGGAGGACCAAAAACCAACATCCTATCCAGCACAGGGAGCAAAAGATTCAGACACACGGGATACATGTGGAGCATCTGGTCTACTTGAGGTACCACTTTAATGGGAGTGTCATCTCATTTAAAATATGTCAGTAAATTATTTTTCAAATTCTCCACTCTGGAACTGATCATGTTAATGATTATATCTGGATTAGTATAAAGTCACACATTTCCAACACAGAAAGAGGCAATTTGGCTCTTTGTGCTTGCGCCCTTTAACAGCACTGTCCAATTGGCATACTTTCTTATGAAAGAATGGAGTCATCAATTTTCATTCACTAATATCTAAACTAGCTAACTGAATATATGTATTCAATCTTAAAGTTGTGAATAAACTGCTTTTTTTTATTAGTAATAGATGAAATTGAATTGACAGAATTCAAAATGGGGAATAAGATTTTGAAGTGGCCTCACAGTTTGCTTCTGTCCATGAATCTGATGGAGATCATCATATAGAGCTCGGTGATTTGGTCACACAGTAAGGCCTGTAACCCCAGCATTGAGAACATTCTCTCTCAGAATTTAATGTTATATTGCCGTGGGTTGATGGCTTTTGTCACTTCGAGAACTTGGAGTGGATTTTAATGCCCTCATTGTTTCGCCCCCATCCCCGCAGCCCCTGGCTGGAGCACTTTGTCAGGGGTCAGGTAGGGCTTTAAAATTGGGTGTCATGGTAAGAGCATGCCATTTGTTGCCTTTTCTTGTCCATTGTATTTTACCAGCACTGGAAGAGATCTTGGATAACTTGTCCTCTTGAGTCAGTTCAGACTCCAACAGGCAGTCCATTTAAGGACTTCTTCCTGTTGAACCCTGCTTTCTGCAATGGTTTGGGGGATCCCTCCAGCAGATGCCCCCCTCCCATTAATCCTCATCAGAGCCGACCAGCCTGGCCCCAGTGGAATGACCCCACTCATTTTCTAATTCACTTCCATCTCTGGGGACTGCCTGCAGTTCGGGCAGTGACCACCACTCCCTGTGGTGCTATCTTCACTCGAAAGTTGACAGCCATGTAATTAATCAGCAGCTCGTGAAGGTGGGCCTTCCTCGAAGATGGGATTAGACCTTTCATTCTGAGTCGATTGATGGCTCAGCAGCTGTAAAATCAACTCAGGGCTTTGAAACCATACAAAAGTGGGCTCACCCTGGCTTTTTCAGCTGGTGGTCTGCTCTAGTGTCGTCATCTCCACATAAAGGTCTGGCCTTGGGTAAAAAGCAAATATAAACTAGTGGGAAGGAAGAGTTTTCTATTTGACTGAAAGAGTCCCATGGAGAATGAGTTTTGACAATCTCAAACTTATTCCGAAAATATGGAAACTGTCCCTACATCAGTACTAATTAACAATATTGCCAAAGAGCATGTAGGATGTCTAGTGTGGAAAGAGGGGAGAAAGGTCACAGTTTGGGATTGTATATTTCCCAGTTGGGACATGCTATATGTATGCAGTGGAATGAGCTTTATTCTGTACCTGGGGATGTATGATGTTAAAACTGAATAACTGAATTGGGAGGCATTGCTTTTCTCAGCACTAACATTCCTCATTGTAGTTGCTCTGGTGATGTTGGCATTGCTTGCCCAGTGTTTCTCTGTCTACTTGTTCCATCCAAGCATGAACACATTTATTTTAGATGGGAAATTTCCCCTGCAGTAGCTGTAGAAGCATCGCATTTGCTTGTTTAGTTACTTGGTTTACGACTGCAAATTTTAGTTTCTAGGTGTAGAATTTCAATTGACACTTTAACGATTGTCTCCCAGCTATGCAAATATGGATATATGTATTCAAGACGGAATTTGCTTTGCGTTTAAGTGTTCACATGGTATTTCATTCATGTTCTTGTGCAGGAAACATCATGTGATTGTGCATCTCAATCACTCACCTCCTGCTTTCCATCCAGATCGTCGGTTCGCCATTCGTTATCACAGTGTAAATCACGATCTTTGCCTTCAGATCCTAGCATGGCTGATGAAAAATCAGGCTGAATTGTGAACTCTGCCATGTACCGGGGCAAGAAAACAGCTTTATGTGGCTAAAATAATCTCTGCAACTTTTGCTTTCTCTGAGAGCATAAGTGAAATTTTCAGAGACATTCAAAAAAGATGTTCAGGTTTTATTGTCGTGGTCACTGTAGAAAAGTAAAAACTGTAGAGGCAAAGCAGACTGTTGAATTATCTTTATCAAGAAAATCTGAGGTATCTAAGTTATAATGTGTAGGTGCTGGATCATTTCTGTAACAGCTGTACATAGATATTCATACAGCAGGTGTGTTAGGCTAGATTATCATAGACAACAGTCTCTACTTTAGTTAACATCCATCTCTATGCAGCTCTCTTCCAGCTTTCATTTGTGATCTATGTATGTGTCTGAGGCAAATGAGATGGGTAAGACTTCATCGCTATCGTCGCACTCCACAGACATCTTTAACTAAGCAGGAATAAATATTTGTAGCACATGTTTCAAATTGCACATTAGGAAACTCAAAGATATCCCACACACACATCACTTAAAATTTAGTTGCGTCTTGCCGTTAAGCTAGAGATATCCTGTGGCATTGCTGTAAATGTATCAGTATGGAGGATGAAATTTGACTTGAATGGAGAAGCTTTGTGGGTGGTATTACATCATTCACCTGCTGCTGTGCTTGATATTCCATCTTATTGTTTGGTGATGAATATATCTGGTGGCCATTTGATACCAGCCATTTGTACCACTGCTCATGGCAGATTTCTAACTCACGCTGGAAAGAGACTTGTAGGCAATGGTCCTGTAAATTTGTTTCCATTGTATACAGCCTGTTCAGTGAATACTTGGCACTATTCATTTTCTTTGAGCAGCAATGCACTCTCATATGGTGTCTTTAAGGAAATACTTAGGAGTGGTCTGTGTGATGCTTTCTGAGTTGCTCTGCAACTGTGCATAGCTTATCTGGAGCACTGCTTACAAACGTTAATTAAATAATGTGATCATAGCTCAATTGGTTGCTTTGCAGATTGTGAAGTACTTCTGAGTTGCGGGCTGCAGGCCATAGATTAGCTTTCTGTCTCATTTCGGAATTGTTTTTCATCTGTAACTAAAGTATTTTTTTAGATAATAAAATTGAATGTGGGAGTGAAATAAATTCCCACATTACTTCTGACCTAAGAGCTTGGGACACAAATAGGACCAATTGTGCATTATTCTGCCTGATGATAAACACTCCAGCAAACAATATCTTTCAAAGGAGTACCATTAAACTGGAAAAAGGAAAAATTAATGTTCCAGCTATAATAAGAATGAAACAGTCAGCTGTGTTCCACAAAACAGGAACACCTGTTGAAACTAAATTCATTTAAGGAAACCAAATGAACTTCATTTTTATCATTTAGAACATTTGAACTATTTCATGTTATTGCTTTGTGACATACTGTACATTGTGGGTTCCGTGTATCAAATGAAACGTTTTGTAGTGCAATAATCAGAGATTGATGGCACTAAAGTACTTGAAGGGGAAGGATAACCAGTGATGACTACAGCCTTGAAATCTGACAGCACAACATCACTTCACAGGCGTTTAAAACCCCAGAGTCCACAGTTTAGCAGGCAAGAAGCAAATAGTCAGAACCAGAACCAGCTGCTGATATATTGGTGATGGCAAAAAAAAATGGCAGCAAGGATCCCTGCCTGAATCAAGTGTTTCATATTTACATATTCGTGTAGTAGGTCTAATACCAGATTGAGGTCCCCTCTGCAGTGTTACATAGTACTGGCTGTGTTCAGGATAGAGCTAGCTACATTCAGGAAATCTGGGTCTACATTCAGCTTGACGGTTGGACCTTACCTGACAGCTGCAAGTCACAACCAAAAAGCTAATTGCTTCAGACGGATTTAATGGATATGTGGAGCTGGGAGGAGTAGGAGTACTTCCCCTGTAGCCTACATTAAAACCATGCAGGCCACTGCTCTGGATTCTGTTTGCTGATGACCTGTCTGAGAACGTCTATCAGGTTTTCCTAGCTGATAATTTTAATGACTTTGAGGTGTGAAGTTCATTTCAGGAGCCTCCTCTAATTGGGAGTGGAGATTCTTCAGCCGTTTATCCAGGACTTCCAGGCCACTTAACTACCCTTTTGTTTTTGTTTCTGTCTTGATTTTTGTATTACCCTTAATGTAATCTTCTTTTAAAAAAAAACTAATTGAGTGAAATGGTTGCATAATTAGACTGTATAGGACACCAAATTTCAGCATTGTTACATTAGGAGAAAGATTGTACCTGCAAAATGCTGAAAAAGAAAATGAAAGCATAAAGACATTTAGTGTCAGCTGACCTCCCACAAAATGCAGTGCAAAGATTTCCTCAGCTTCCCAAATGGGCTTGGTGTAGGCCTAGTCCCACTACAGTCATTGAAATGAGGCAGGAGCAAGGAAATGTTTCGTTGATTGTGTTTATGTTAGGCACCGCAGATTTTCAAATGCAACCAATCCATTTCTCATTTGCAAAGCCAGCTTTTGCATTTGATTATCAGTGTGGAGAGTCCCATTAGACTCCAAGGGCTCAACTGATGCAGTGGCTGGTTTAACAAATGAGCCGTAAAGCATTCACAGACATTCATTCTTAAAACTGCCTGAAGTCATTTTCATCTTTCATTTTTGTGAGGCCAAGTTCTCCTTTCATCATTAAAATCCTTCAAAGTGCTGCCAAATCAGCTGCAACACACCCTGCCCACTGCCTTCCCACCACTTCCACCTCCATTATTCCATTCCCCTTACTCCTGACCACTAGTTTTTCACTAGATGTTAATAACACCTCCCTGTCCCACCTCTGACAGCAGCACCAAACTGGAGCCACTGGATTCACAGCCCATTCTACATGACACTCAATATTTACTTCCACTAAATTGAGAAGCACTGAATACTGTATTAGGCATTGTATATTTACCAATCTAAAATTGCCTGTTATGCACCGTCACCCAAGATTAATTTGTAGTCCTGAATCTTTATAGTAGTGATGGATTGGGTGTCCGATTGATTTTAGCAGCCTGGGGAAGTGAATTTGTCCATCTATTGTGGAATCTGTACAATATTCTGATCTGTTAATTTAAGGGAATTGCAGATCTGTTCCATCAGATTACTGTTCAGTTGAATGTTATCCCATTTTATTTATTGGTTATATTTGCCCTGTCTCCTCCCTTCCTCAATATTCAAATGACCCACTATCACCATCTGTTAGAGAGACCTGAGTCTGTCCGTACTCCACTTCCGATTTCCTTTCCTAAATTATCTACCGGTCTTCCTTTCTGCACTCCTCTCCACCACCATTTTCACTCGTCTTTTCTGTCCACCATTTTCCCTCTGTTTACTTTGTCTTTCCTGTCGTGTCACTGTCTGCCTTTTCACCTCACTTCTGACCCTATTCCTTTCTGTCTTCAGCTATATTCTTCATTTCTGGTTTTTAAAATCTTTGCCTTTCATTACCCCCATCCACTCCAGTTTCTCCTGATTACTGTCTCCCAACTGTTTCTCTTCCATAGATCATCAACCTCTGTACAACTCTCACTAGTCTTCCTGGTCTGTGACCCTGTTGTTCTCCTTTTCCATTTTCCTCCCAACCTGTATCTTCTCCTTTTATTCTTATTTGCAGTCTAACATTCTATGTTTCAGTCTTGCAATTATTCTTCCTGTATCAGCATCCTTTATCTCCTCTTCCCATCACCTGTTAAAATCTGGGTCCCTTTGTTATTGTCTCTTCTATAATTTGCTTCACCTCTACTTCATTTTAAATTACCTTCTTATCATCTTTACTGGCTTGATTTCCAGATTTGTCTGTCTTTCCCATGATTCTTCCCAGTCTGGCTCCCTTTCTCCCAACTGCCAATCTAGACGCATCCGTATCCAGTTCGCTATATCTGACTGCACTGACCTTCCCAATATAGCTTGGCTTGTCATTACTTCCCCCATTCTCTGTCTGTCTGCCTTCCTTCCCAAAATGTCTTCCCTTCCTATCCCAGTTACTATTTTGTCTTCTACACTCACTTCCATGCCCACATTTATCAATTTTTTTATTTGCTTTCTCTCTGTCTATTTCTTTGCGGTTCCTTTTTCCAATGCCCCTTTTAATCTGGCTCCTATTTCCTGTTTGTCTTTCCCTTTGCTATTTTTCATGATTTTCTTCCTCATTGCCCCTTCAAAATATGCTCTCCACCTGCCCCTATATTATCACTCCCAAACTGGTTTGCATTGTCCATTATATTATAAGTCTTTTAGTTTCCCTCTTCTCCCTGTATGTCACTATATTATTTCAATTCTCTTCACAGTCTATTTCTCACTTTCAGTTGACCATGTCCTCTGGCTGCCTGGCCCAACTTGCATTCCTTTTGTATCCATTCCCACTTAGCCTCCTACTCTTAGTCCTTGTTTGAATCTGTATGTCTCTTTCCCCCATTCCCCTCACTTCCTTAACCATTGCTAGAAGTCACACAAAACCAGGTTATAGTCCACCAGGTTTATTTAAAATCACAAGCTTTCGTAGTGCTGCTCCTTCGTCAGGTGAAGTGGAAAGAGAATGCCTAAGCGCCCCCTCCTCTATTTCACCTGACGAAGGAGCAGCGCCCCAAAAGCTTGTGATTTTAAATAGACCTGTTGGACTATAACCTGGTGTTGTGTGACTTCTGAGTTTGTCCACCCCAGTCCAACACCAGCATCGCCACATCATTAACCGTGCTGTTAGCCAATTGTCTGCCCTTATCCACTCCCCAACCACACCTCATCCCATATTGTCATCCTTCACTTTGCCCTTTTAGCTAAGTTTACCATGCCCTTCTGTTTTAGTTGCCCTGCCAATTTTTCTTCGCAGCCTGTCTTTGCCTTTCTTCCTTCTATTTCTCCCAATCTGGTTCTTGTACTAAATTGGTTCTTTTTCCCCCATTCCATCCAATCCAGCTTCTGTAACTCTTGTCTTTCTATTTGGCTTCCCTTCTCACTGAAGCCGACTTTTCCATTGTCCATTCCAACCAGGTTTCCCATTTCTGATCTTAATTTGTTTTACGTACGGCATATCTCACCCTGAAACTTCCGTGTGTCTTTTTTTTTTGGCAATAGAGCAGGTTGTACATCTGGAACTTTGGTTTCTTCACCATCTCATTGGGATGGGTACATTATCAACAGAGTTGTCTGCTTAGTTTTACTGCCAGATACCAGGAGTAACTTCCTGCTGGGGCTAATTGCGATTTGTCTTCTCCGCTGTGTGTTCCAAATGGATTTGCACCTGCTTTCAGCAGATATAGGCTCTGCTAGACCACTTGGTGACAGTAAGGTGCAGTTCTAGGGTTGTCCTGGAACAGCTCCAGAAATGTTCCTCAACTCCTTGAATGATGTGACTGATGCAGGCAGAAGTATTTCCCCTTTCCACATCATCAGGAAACTTTAAGAGGGTTGGAAGCTTTATGGAATCATATTGACCCCGCAGTGAGAGATCTTTGCTGAGCAGACATCTTCTAGTCTTATCATTCCTCTTAATTTGTTTCTCCTTGTTCTCCCTACTCTTCCCATCAGACTGCACGACTCAGTTTTCTTTCCAGCCTCTCCACTAGCTCTGGTTCTAAGTCTGCCTTCTCCACGCACTCTTTCTCCATCACATAGCGTCTTCATTTGACTCCGCTCTCAATATGAATTTCTTTCCCATTTCACTTTTCTATCTGGCTCCCACTGAGATTATCTAGTCTTGTTTTGATGCTTTGCAAACAGTCTGTTTTCCTCCTGTAGTCAGGATTCCATCACATTCCCCCTCAAATTCTTTCTGCCTTCACCTTACTTCAGCTGTTTGCTGAGCTCCATATGTTTAAAATGGTTCCCTTCATTCTTATTCACCCATTCTATTTACCTGTGACTTCCTTTGCCAGCCTCCTCCTCATAACTGGATTTTCTATAAAGTTTATAGTTTATCTTTTACCCGTTTGATTGTTCCAGGATTTCCATGATGGTTATCCCTACCAACCTGTTTCTCTCTGTGCTGATCTCCCCCATTTTAGCTTCCTTTGTCATTGTCTTTTCAAGTTAATGATGCCAACCAGCTGTCTTCTGCTGGTACTTTTCTTGTTATGACTTCCACTCTGAACTCCTTTATTATCAACCTGACCAATCCAGCTTCCCTGATGATTTCTGCTGCAACTGGTTTCCAGTGTCATTGTCTTCCCATTTTACTTTCCATAGCCTACCTTTCCCATTGCCCACCCTATTAAACTTCCCTTGCCACTATTTCTCCCCTTCTGGGTCACTCCAGGATTCCTTGTCTTTGCCACGTTTTCTGCTTTCCCATCATATTTACTCCATTCAATCTGACTTCTCTTGATTCTGCCTTTTAAAAGTCAGGCTTCTTTGACCAATTACCCCACACCCCTGCGCAAATGCCTCTGACTCATGAGTTAGAATCAGGGAGAAATCTGACTGACTTAGCTGGATAGTTACCCAAGAAATACCAGACAGAAAAATCCTCATGTTACCCAGGAATTACAAGACAACCGATCCTCTTCCTACTACCCACTGATCCTCCCCCTCAAAACCTCTGCCTCCCCCAACTGTCCCTCCAACGAAGTGACCTGCCCAGACACACTCAGCCCACCAAATCCTCAAGATCTCTCCAACTCTTCCCATCCCATTTCCATTGGCTCTCTGAATCTTCCTTTCCCATTGTCTGTCTGTTTTTCTATCCCATCCCAACTCTCCGACTCTTCTCTCCATCCCCCCCCTAATTATCTGATGCTTCACACCCCCCCCCCCCCCCCCCCCCCCAGTCCTCACTTTAACACTGCCCACCCCACCATTTGATACAATGGCTGGCCCCGCAGCCCAACCCCATCCCCAATCCTGAATGTCCAACTCCAGTGTACTGATACTTAACCCACTGAAACTCAAACTGTTCTTGACCCTCTCCAACTGGATTTAACCCAACCTCACCACATTACCCACTGTACTCTCTCACACTCATTCAGTAACACACTGAAAAGTTATTGAGATGACCCAAAACTTTTCATAGTGCTGGTGAATGAAGATTTACCAGAATACTGTGGCTAGTGTCAACATGGTGGCTCAGTGGTTAGCACTGCTGCCTCACAGTGCCAGAAACCTGGGTTCGATCCCACCCTCTGGCGACTGTCTGTGTGGAGATTGCACATTCTCCCCGTGTCTGCGTGGGTTTCCTCCCACAGCCCAAAGATGTGCAGGCTAGGTGAATTGGCCATGCTAAATTGCTCATAGCATTCAGGGATGTGTAGATTAGGTGGGTTATAGGGGGATGGGTCGAGGTGGAATGCTCTGACGGTCGGTGTGGACTTGTTGGGCCAAAGGGATTCTATGAAATTCTAATGTTGTAAACAGGGAGTGTAATTTAATTTCCTTTGATGATATTGTGCTACAAAGAAGGAGTCTATTATCAGGCATGGTTTACATTTCTGACCAGGCCATGTTTGGAATCCCGGCCAGAAGTGTAGAGCCTAGTCGTAGCATTTAAAAAGAGGGGGAATGGAAATCCAACAGTAATTGCCACTCCAGAAAGTTCGAGCCATAGTCTTCTAAGAGAATTGATCCGATTGTGGTTCATAGAGTTGTACAGCACAAAAACAGACCCTTTGTCCATGCCAACAAGATATCCTAAATTAATCTAGTCCCATTTCCCAGCATTTGGCCACCTCCCCCACTTCCTCTAGCTGCTCGTTCCATATGTGCACCACCCTCTGCATGAAAAAGTTGCCTTAGGGCCCTTTTTAAATCTTTCCTCTCTCACCTTAAACCTATGCCTTCTAACCCTGGGACTTTCCAACCCTGGGAAATTAACCTTGGCTATTCACCCTACCCATACCCTTCATGATTTTATAAACTTCTATAAGGTCTCCCCCCAGCTGCTGACACTCCAGGGAAAATAGCCTCAGCCTATTCAGCCTCTCCCTATAGCTCAAACCCTCCAACCCTGGCAACACCCTTTTAAGTTTCACAGCATCTTCCCAATAGCACAGAGACCAGAACTGAATGCAGTATTTCAAAAGTGTGCTAACCAATGGCCTGTACAGCCGCAACATGACCTCCCAACTCCTATACTCGATGCACTGACCAATAATGGCAAGCATACCAAATGCTTTCTTTACTATCCTGTCTACCTGCAACTCCACCTTCAAAAACCAATGAACCTGCACCCCAAAGTCTCAGTTCGGAAACATTCCCCAGGACCCTCCTTAAGTGTATAAGTCCTGCCCCAATTTGTTTTACCAAAATGCAACACCTCACGTTTATCTAAATTAAACTCCATCTGCCACTTATGGGCTCACCTGATTGAGGTCCCGTTGTACTCTGAGATAACGTTGTTCACTGTCCACTGCACCACCAATTTGGTGTCATCTGCAAACTTACTAACCATTCCTCCTATATTTACATTCAAATCATTTATATAAAGGACAAAAAGCAGCAGACCCAGCACTGATCCTCGCGTCACACCAATGGTCACAGGCAGTTTTGTATAATTTCAGAAACTCAACATTGTCCAGTCAGCTTACCAGTGTTTTTAAATGCATGAGAAGAACCACTGTAAGTTGTTCACCAAATGTTCACTGATAAATCAAAAGCTGTTGTTTCAGTTGTATGTTACTACACCCGTTTAAGATTATATTTGTACACCCACACAGGGAAGGACTCCATTATGTTCAAACTTTGTTATGGAGTTTTGGATAACTTTTAAGAAATATGCATTCAACATTTTGGTAAAAAGGGCAGTTAGTTGAGACATTTTAAGATCATTTTACCTGGTTAGAACAGGCCTAATAATCATAGCCTTTAGCAAACATTCTGACTCGTTTTGCATATACCGTGTATTTGTTTTGGATATTTTAATTGACAAGTGACTGCACATAGCCAAGAATATTGTTGGATAATAGAGCTGTGATTTAAGTGACTAATGTGAGAAAAGTTGTACTACAAATGCTCTTAAAGCAGTGAGACAATATTAAGGTACCTGCTCTTTTCCATGAATCTATTACATGATTAAAAAGTTATTAATGTATATCAGTTTTATAAGCTTCATTGTTTTCTACGTCTTTGTCTTGTGTATATATGAAAGCTATTTAAACTCCAAAATATCTGGTCATTTTTGATTCTTGATATATTTAAGTTTTATTTTTAACATTAGTATTTTTTAATTTTTGTAATGTAAGATTAGATTTTTAAATGTTTGTTTTTAGGTGACCTTTTAATATAAAAGTTCAGCATATGTTTGTAAAAAATACCTTTTAATTATTTATACTGTTCATAGAAAATAAATTGTGTATAATAATGGAAAAAACATATATCTAGGTATTTGTACTTAGTTTATGGATTACACAATGCAGGAGAGATAAAGGACCTTGGCATAGTCATAGTGGCTTATGGGTGAATTGCTTCCAAAATCTAAGTTATTGGAAATTACTATAGAAATATGTACTGATTATTTTTATTTTATGTAGCATTTACTGG